ACGCACACCGGCTCAACACACACACCCCCCAAAAACCGCACCCCCCCCCCCCCCCCCCCCCCCCCTTCACCGGGAGCGATGACAGCGGAGAGTGAGTCCGCCTCGGTAAAAGGCTGCGGTCTCTCGGCCATCCATCAACAAGTCCACACAGTCCACCGAACACCAAAAAACACGCAGCACTGGACAGAAGCCACGCGCGCAGTAGTGGCATGCACCTGGAGTGGACGCAACAACACCTGTAACTGTGTGGAAACGAGCCCGGGGCTGCGATGAAACCGGGACGAACTTGAGGGGAAGGGACGCGTGTTGTCCGCTAGAGCAGCACGAGGGAGAGTTGCTGCGTAGAGGGGAATCACCGACCCACGACCACCTGATAACACAATACAACAAAGCTACAGAGGAGAACCCGGCACGAGGAGACAAAGATGCGTGTGCTGCTGATGAGAGTAACAATGGTGATGATGGAGAAAGATGATAACATCCTCTGAGACTGCCACAAGAACACATCTGTTGAGGATCACATCTGGCTGACACGCTGACTCCCCCCCTCCCACATAACCGCACACTCACAGAGACTCTCTCACACACACGCACACACCTACTGATGGTGTATTCTGTCCGGTCACATGCGCGTGCCCCCGGCCTCACTTGCAGAGATGGAGCCCATGCAGTGCGTAGTGTGCAGGGTTGTTTTTTAGTTTTTGTTACTCACCCCCGGTGCTGTCGCCGCCAGTCTCCGTCCGCTCGCGTGTCCTACCGTGTGATTTAACGGGAGAGAGGGCGAGCCGTGGGCGCATCCAGCCCCCACCAGCGCCATCCAGCGCTGCGGTCGCGGCACGCCGCTCTCGCGATACCGTGCCATCTTCCAGCTCTCCTCCTGGAGTGTGTGTGACGTAGCGTTTTTTGTTTTTTTTATTATTATTATTATCAGGCGGTTAGCTCAGCCCGATGCCGCCGTCTTCTGGGCACGAGGCGAAAGGAGCGCGAGGGACGGTGATGATGTCATCCCGTAGCTGAACTTGTGGCCTTACCTGTTTGAGTACGCGCACTGTTTTTTCTCTGATGTAGCCCGCTGCCAGTAACGTGCAGAAGATCTGTTTAATTGCTATCATTCTGCCAGCACCAGTTTAAAGTCACAGCCTGAACCCACTATGAACAGAACAGGTGAGACGTCAGGGGGGCTTTTTTTTTTGGGGGGGGGGGGGTCTTGAGGGTTTAGGCGCCTATTTAAATGTGGAAAGTTTTGAGTGTAGGGCTTCTTTGAGTTTCCAGAGCAGAGGGTGTCACTGCTGGTTGCTGCTGCTGGAGCATCTTGTCTGACCAGAGCAAAATATTTGAACAACTTGAAGCAGAACTCTTAAATACAGGAAGTGGCCAATCAGAATGTACCAAGTGCATGGGATGTATATATATTTTGTTTATTTTCTTATTCATTTGTTGTTGCTTTTGTTTGGGTTAAATACTAATATTCATACTGATAGCTCTCCTGTTTTATTTATTTAGGTGGTTGTGTTTGTTACCTCTTTGTTTCATAAATGGTCTGATCAGCCATATATACTGTATGTTCCACTATGTGGTCAGTGTGCGTCATTGTCAGGTGAGTTTAGTTTGTTCAGTTCTATTCAGTTTGTGTTGACTTATTAAAGTCTGAGCCTAGTTCACTTCTTTCATGGGCCAAGAACTTTGTTATGTATTTTGTAAATTGAATTGCTTCATTTTTAAGTAAAATAAAACCCTCCTTTTGAAAACCCACCCGTGACTCCTCATGGCTACCAGCTCGGCCCTTCACAGTTCCCTTCTTACACTGAAATTATGACACAAATGAACAGAGACCCTTACTTGTTTGATGTTTGGTGGCTGTGGGGCTCTAAGAAGCTACTTCATTCATTTGGACCTTATGATATACACAAAATAGTTCAGACTGTCAACAACCAGCATTTCTTTTCTCCTTAATAATCAGATTTTGTCCTTTTGAATAACACTTCTCCGAGTCTTGCACATGCAGTGTTAACATCAGAAGCACACAGACATTCTGTAAAGGAGAACTTTATTGCATAATTACATTGTCTTAAGAGTGCAGAGTGCTCATCTGTATCTATCTGTACAGTTTGCAAAATCGTAGTAGGACTCAGACACAGTTGGGGATGAAAAGATTAGAAAGCACACAGGAGACGAGGGACGCTGTCCTCCATCAAGTCGGTTTTAAATCGTTTTTTTGTATGTCAAAACTGTGTTGTCAGTGCATGTGGTCTAAATTATGACCTGTGCCTAATGCTCCCATACATGGTTATTCTTGTGTGTGTTTATGAGTTCCAGTGCATGCACTGCTTGTGTGCGTGTGTTCACAGGTCATCCGTCTCTCCATCGAAGGGGATGCTGTCCAGGTCCATGTGGATGTTCAGGTTGTCGTCACTGCAGATCCAGCCGATGGGCGTGCGGTTGAACGAGGGCCGTGAGCGGACGCCCAGCTCCGGCTCCTCGGAGGTGCAGTTGAGCTCTTGGAGCTCGAAGGTCAGCGTCTTGGGAACCTTGTCGGAGCCGCCGAATGGCAGCGCCGTCCTGGGGAGAGGAGAGGAAGAAACAGGAAGCTCGAGGTAACGCCAGGGTGAACACCGTTCAACAAGAACATTGACGCCGACACACTGCATGTATGATACGTCTCTGCAAATTACCAAAAGATTAAGTTTGACCTAAAGTGAAATTCCCACATTAAACAATGTTTGCTTGTTCCATTGATGATTTACTGAACACATATTACATTATCAATGGCGCTACCTTCTCCTTATGTGGAATTTGTCGCTCTAAAGCTATATTGCAATACTTTTGGTAGCTACTAACAGTGTATGAGAAAAGCCTGACCTGTTGAAGCTCTTGTACAGAGGCAGTTCTGGGTGCATCTGGATGGGTCCCGGCATGGAGGACTTCATGGTGGCTGTCAGCTCCTCGTTGCCCTTCATGGCCCGTTCCCATGGAGATATATAGGTGGGTCCATACCTCCTCTTCTCCGCCTCCTCATCTATCGTCTCCTCCACCACTGAGACACACAGGGAAGTGTTGGACCAGGGAGATTAAATGCAAACTCTTAACAGAAAGAAATAATGTAAAATAAAAAGTACATCTGTGAGCCCACCTTCTTCCTTTGCCTTCTCGGGCTTTGGTGCGACAGGGGGAGGGCACATGAGCAGGTTCTCGAGGTTCTGCTGGAGGACAAATACAGGAAGATGTAGTCTGATCAGTGCACACATATAAACACAACCTTTACGCGCACTCGCTCGCTCTTACCTTGTTCTCGTTGGTGACGATGAACCGCTCCACTCTCTGCTGCCTCTTCCTGAACATCTTGGAGCCCTTGTTCATGTTCAGGGAGAGCTCCTCCAGCATGGTGTCCCTTGGCGTCTTGATCTTGGTGCCCAGGTCAAGCTCAGAGGCCTCGGGGTCGGACTCATCGTCTGACGTGGAAAAAGGAGGAGGACAAAATGAAGGGACTGAATATGGAACGGGTATATTCAGAGAGAAGGTAGAGGCGGAATTGACATGGTTTGCTCATATGTTGAGGGAAATGCAATGTGGTAAAGTGAATTAGACAAACAGCTGTAAACAGATTGTTCAAAGAAATAGTTCAACATTTTAGGAGATATCTTTATTCACTTTCTTTTCTGAGAGTTAAGGCCTTTACACACAGGGGCGTGAGGAATGAACAACACGAAAAATGAAAAATATTCGCCTGCGACTATTTCACATCAAAACTATTCATATGGGAAGCGATGCGAATTTGTGTCAGTTGCAACACTTTTTCAAATACAAGGTTTGAATAGATTTGTGCAGGCGGAGGACCAACCACCAGGATTCTATTGACTCAGAGCAGCGTCTGGTAAACAGACACGCAGTGTATATGTCTTTCTATTGTGAAAGGTAAAAAAGGAAGAAGTGGATCTGGTCTGCGCTGATTTTTTTGAAAGGAGTATTAAAGTTTTGTGTCTTGGTTTGGATTATAGAGCCTCCGTGTTGTTGTACACTTCAGTGTGCGTTTTAAATAGGTCCAATCCTCACAAAGTGGTTGGTTGACGCCTTTACTCACAGTGAGAAAGCTCAGAAAAATCGACCCAAAAAAATATTCACTGTGTGAAAGTCTTCATGACAAAAACTACATTTCGGAAAAATATATTCAAGTTTGATTAAATTGCACCAAAAAAAAAAAGAAGCTGTGCTCTCTCTTATCAGCTAAACCCATTTTGTAAATTAAAAGGTGGGTTTACCTTCTGCTATATATCTGATATTAACTGAGGGAGAGATACGACTGTAAAGGGCGAATTTATATCCTCTGGCTTTCATGTCGTCCTTGTTGAGATGAATTAGAGATGAAACCTAACGGCGTGAGAGGATGTGTGTGTGTGTGTGTGTGTGTGTGTGTGTGTGTGTGTGTGTGTGTGTGTGTGTGTGTGTGTGAATCCAGGGGAGTTGTAGGGGTTACTAGGCCAAAGCAATATGGAAGAAAAGGGCACTGGGGAATGTCACGGCAGGTTTTCTGGTAGAACTGTTTATGGAGGGAAATCCTCATAACACACTACCTCTCTCTCTCTCTCTCTCTCTCTCTCTCTCTCTCTCTCTCTCTCTC